CTGCACCTCCCAGGGACCCTTCTGCACCTCCCAGGGACCCTTCTGCAGTGATCTCTTGACATTTCTCAAAAGACCAGCAAACATCAGCCAGTCTGCAGAATGGAAGGGAAATGAGAAGGGAAGTTTCAGAGGGAGCGCAGCTCCTCCTGAAGGTTCTTGATGATAAGCCCTGACCTTTGAGAGGTCCCTGTCCTGGGGGAGAAGATGAAAAATAGAGCCACTTCAAGGGCCTTGCCCCCTGGGAGGGCTTGATACTTCCCAGTTTCTGCTGTGCCCTTGCGGTTGAGCACTTTCAGGATGTCCTTGGTAATCTTCTTGATGGCATGGCGGGCATCATCTCTCTGCTTTCCTACCCCGAACAGCACCACTAGTCGCTGGTTGCACTCATGACTGCAGGCCTCCTCCTGGGTAGTACCAGGAGTCTTGTCAGACTCACCCAACTCGGCCACAAGCCCACCCTTGATCATGGCAAGCCCATTAATCACTCACTCTTGCACACACCCCCCCTTCTCCCAAGGACACCCACACCCCATCTCTGGAGCATACGCCCTGGGCACAATGCTAATGAGGCGTAGGTAGACCAGCAGGAGGTGAGAGGTAGGTAGGTAGGTACCTGGGGGATGGGGAAGTGCGTGGCATACTGTACGTGGCGTGGCTGCTCATAGAGAACCCCCAAGGTCCCCTCCACTTTCTCCTTAAGTAGTGGTTTCATCTCTTTGTCACCATCAGGTTTCTCAGGGGATGGGCTGCCTTTCCCCTCACAGTGCATAGTGGGAGAGAACATCTGAGGAAAGAAGAGAAGGCAGAACATCTGGAGAGAGGGCAGAAGCCCTGGGGAGACGGACGAGCCAGGAGCAGGGGAAGAAGAGAGGAGCGGGACCCCTTCACAGCCAGGGTCCGCCTTACCGAGAAATCGGGCTTTTCCATGTCCTCAAAGAGCGCGCTGGACCCAGGGTCAATGTCCATAGACTCGGAGAGTCCGGGGTCCTGAGGACACAAGCAGACACAGCCAGTGAGTGGGAGCTCTTCGCTCCCACTCAGCTTTGGGGGAAGAGTGCCCAGGCTCTCTGGGTACCAGCTAGCTTGGCAGGGGCCAAGGACATGAAGCACTCACTTCTAGCTTGCTGCTGCTACTGCCTTCAGCATCTTTTCGCTCAGGGTCATCTGGGGGGTCGTCAAAGGGAGAGGGGGGGCGGGGCCCCGGCGCTCCAAAGGCCAAGTCACCTCGGGAGATGAGGGTGCAAGTATAGATGTTGTGGGAGAAGACGTCATGGCGAATCAGCTCACAGAACAGGAGCACCAGGTTGAAGAACTCCACTCTCTCGCTCTCACTTCTCGGATCGGCTGGAGAGACAAAATGGGGTGAGGAGGAGGAAGCACAAGGAAAGCGGCAACAGGGAAATGAAGCCAAGTGGAGAGTGCCTGCCTGGCCCCGCTCAACATTTCTGGTGATGTATCTTGGACCTCCATACAAGAAAACTTCACTGTTACAGAGAGGTGGCCTCAGTTTGCTAGGATTCCTATTATTCCTCTACATTGGTCTTTTTCAAATGAAATTTTAAATTTTAATAAGTATCTATTAAGTACCTACTAGGTGCCAAGCACTGCTAAGCACAGTACCCATCTGGTGTTATTATTATCTCTATTTGACAGATGAGGAAACTGAGGCAGACAGAGGTTAAAGTGACTTGCCCAGGGTCACAGAGTGAACTGAGTTCCTGTGGTCAAATTTGAACTCAGGTCTTCCTGACTTCAAGTCCAGGGCTCTATCCAACGAATTACCTAGCTGTCCCTAATGCCACCTAGACAGGCTCCTACAGAGACAACACAGCTGTCTTGTTCGGGTTGCAGTCAGACTCCTCAGTCTTCAATGACTGGGCTCACGTCCAGCCAAGTGTCTCTGTGGGGGCAGCCAGGTGGCGACGTGGATAGAGCTCTGGTCTTGGAGTCAGGAGGACCTGAGTTCAAATCAGGCCTCAGACACTTGACACCTACTACCTGTGTGACCCTGGGCGAGTCACTTAACCCTGACTGCCTCACTAAAAAAGAAAAAAGAAAAAAAAAAGCCAAGTGTCTCTGTGGAGAGGCCCCTAGGAGGCTTAGCATCAGGTGTGGGTTGGGTTGGGTTTTTATGGGGGAGGAGGAAGGAGCAGCTGCCAGGGGGCAGTGAACCATACTTAGCATGGGTGCCTGTGTGTCCAAGAACTGCAACAGGACATCCTGGAAAATGGGAGCAGTGGGAGCAGACAGGGAGCCCGACGAGATGGAGCCCTTCTCATCCACTGCCTCAGACTCTCCACAGCGCTGGCAGGAGAGACAACAGGGAAGACATTTCTTTTTTTTTTTTTTTTTAATTAATTTATTTTGATTTATCAACAATCACTTCCAGAAGCTTTTGAGTTTTAAATTTTTCTCCCCCTCCCTCCCTACATGTACATTCCTATTCAACATTTTCACATTAGTCGTGTTGTAAGGAAGAATTAGAACCAATAGGAGGAACCACCAGAAAGAGGAAACAAAACCAAACAAGAAAAAAGAAAAAAGAGCAAGCAGTCTGCTTGGATCTGCATTCAAACCGCACAGTTCTTTCTCTGGATGTGGAGAGCACTTTCCAGCATGAGGCCTCTGGAGACGTCTTAGATCGGAAGGCATTTCTTGACTCCTACTTCTCTCACTCTCAACGCAGACTCCCCAAACCATCCACTTCAACCTCCACGTTGGAATTCTGATCTCCATCCCTGAGGCTCTCTCTGACCTCCGTTATTTCCCATCTCTGCTCCCTCATGCTGGGCCCCACAACTCCATCCTTCACTGATGCTCACCCTCCTAGACATCCACCACTATCTCCAACTCTACCCCGACTCCCTCCCTCTTGGCCAGCCTTGTTCTCTCTCTCTTCTCCCTTCTGACCTCTGCCTCAATCTCTGCCTGTCTCTTCTCCAAGAGCTTGGCAACCACCATAGCCCGGTGGCGGCCAGAACGTTTGCAGCTGACAGCCCATTCACACAGTAGTGCCACCACAGCGTCATCATCTGGGGAAATCTGGTAACCAGGGAGCAGGAGCCAGAAGAAGGAGAGAAGAAAAGAAGGAAATAGTCATTAAGAGTCTACTTAAGTACTTAGGTTATAAGTACCTATGTTACGTCATTGGAGCCTCCCGATAACCCTGGGAAATAGGCAGTATCGTGATCATATTTTACAGTTGAGGAAACTGAGGCAAACAGAAGTTAAGTGACTGGGTCACACAGCTAGCAAATGTCTGAGATCTGAATTCAGGTTTTCCTGACTCCAGGCCCTATGCCACCTAGCTACCTGACAGCTACCAAGCAGAGAAGAGACAGCAATCAGCACTGTCTTAGGCCTGGTAACATCAAGTCTTCTGACAAACACTGGCCAGCCTCATGTATCACTACTTCTTTGCCTCATATCCATCTTTGCCTTTCCCATTCCTCTCTCCGTTCTCTAGGCCCCCTTGAGCCCCAGCCCCTGGCTGCCTACCTCATGGCCATCTTTACTGGGCCCTAGTCCAAAGATGCGATTACACAAAGAGTCTAGGGAATTGCTGAAGTCAGAACGCTCAAAGCTGTGGCTGTCCAGCACTTCCAAAGTGTGAAGCACTCGGCCGATGGTGAACCCTGAAGGGGAGGCAGTGGATTAAAGGGGACCTCCTTCAGGGATCCCCAGTGCATCCCCACCCACTGGTGCACTGTCTTCAAAAACCCAGGGACCTACCTGCAGTTGTCTCTTGGCATTTATCAAAGGACCAGCGAACTTCGACTGCCTGGCCCCGCTCCTTGATCTGCTGTTCAATTTCACGCAATTTTGCCCGGACCTGCACCGAGAGAGAGAGGGGCTGGTGGGGGTGGAGCCTGAGGCTCTCAGTAGGGCCTAGAGGAGGAGCAGCAGCACCACGAAGGGCCACTGGCAGGGAGCGCAGCACCTCCCTCAGACCACGCGAGCATTAGCCTGTGAGTTAGTGAGGGTACCTGTTGAGTGAAGGCCGAGTTGCCCCCAGGCATGGGCAAGTTGGAGGGAGCGATAGGCAGGTGGTCAAGAGGTGAGCCAGTCTTAATCCTGCTATCAGTCAGTGAATAGTGCCAGACGAGTGCACTGGGGCAGCAGAGAAGGATGCTCTGGGAGACAAGCCGATCAAAAAGGCCAGTTACCAGGAGTCTCTTCGAGACAAGGCCCAAAGCGGCAGGCTCCTGCCCAGCATGAGCCCCATCAGCTCCGGTATGGAGGGCAGGCAGTCGAGCAGGAGGCCTCCTTCCCTACTTGCTCCACCCCCAACCCCCCCACTATACTCCCTTGGCTTAGGAGCCTAGGATGCCACCTCTGGGCCGGAGGCTCTGACTCCCAGTCCTAGTGAGACACACTCATCATGGCCACCACCCAGAGCCAGCCCCATCTCCAGCTCACCCCAAAGGCTTGGCCACTCACCTGAAGGATGCAGCTGAGCCCAAAAACCAGAGGCCGATGCTGAGGACACTGAAGCAATTCACCAAAGGGTGTGGAGGGCTGGCTGCCAGCTGGGGGCTGAGGAGCAGGGGTCGGGGGCAACGTGCCGCCGGGCTGAGTTGCAAGCACGTGGGGAGGGTGGCCGCTCACACCATCCAGCTGCAGGGCCAGCCTCCGAGTACAGAAATAGGCAAGACGTCGAGAGAGGTATGCAGACTGAACAAATTCCCCTGAGTACTGTGGAGAAGACATGGCACTCAGAACCTCCCGGCTATGGGCCCCTCCCTCCAGCCTGAGCCCTGGCACCGAAGGGCCGTAGCTCAGGGGCTTGCCTCTGGCCTGCCTGCAAGTCTCAGGCTCTAGAGCCTCACCCGGAGCAGCAGGGGCAGCAGGAGCCTGAGCAGCTCATCCTCTCCAGGCCGGATTTTCTCAAAACACTCGAGGACCCAAGTCAGGAACTCGTGCCTGTCCAACATCCCATCCTGAAAGTACCGGGGCAGGAGGGAAAGCAGAGGAGAGAGAACAGTGTAGAGGGAGCCAGCCTAGGATCTGGACGGAAGTGCAGCAGGTACCAAGTGTCGAGCTGAGCTGCACCAGCATCGGGCTTGGCGCACATTTAGCCGCTCCCCCCTCCACCCCCATTTCCTGCTACCTGGAACATGAACATGGCCAGCTTCTCATTGTAGTCCCACTGCCGAAGGGCTAGCTCCACCTCATGGGGGAGGGACCCTGAGGCAGAAGCGCAGCTCCCAGGCCCTGGCCGGTAGAATTCAGCCATCTTTTGCAGCTGCTC